AGCAAACACTGATCATTTATTGAACAGTGTGTAATAATTCCATATTTAAAATGCGATCTTGCCAGCTCTGGTCTAAAGGAAAGGATAATTCAGCTAATACGTTTTCAGACCATACGGGCGTGAGCGCTCGGAGAAAGCTGCTTAACCTCCAGCGGCCGAGGTCCTGTGGCTCCCCTTCTAATCATCTCCTGCTTCCTCCTTGTTTGTCTTCTCTGAAGCCCCTTTGCCCTGCAGAGTCCCATTTGTTTTAAACACCTCCCTCTTCCCCTCCGCTTCACCCAAAACTGTTTGTGTTGGAACCCTAAATCAAGTGGCGGCTGTGAACTTCAAGTGGCACGGTTATGAAAATATCGAACGTGAGAGATGGACCCTGCGAAAGGAAATGAGCACAATGCATCCCCCCCCCCCTCCCGGCTGATTCGGGAGAACCTCGCTTCGTATTTAACATCAAGCACTCTGTCTGTATTTTCAGGATGTCAGGGACTGACTGGTGGTCAGGGCTGGGTGACTCATAATAAGTCTTTGTTATTTATTGCCCCATCTGGCCTCACCAGTCTTAAGTTTAATGAGTTTTCTTTTGGTTCGACGGGATGTATGGGGGGTGTGTGTGTGTGTGTGTGTGTGTGCGTTTTCCTCAGGTGATGTGAGGACAAGTTAAAAAGAAAAAAAAGGAGCAGAGTGCTTTCTCCTATTCCGGCTCTGCTCTCCTGCTTTAAATTCAGAGATTAATGAGGACATCAAAACGCCGCCTGCGATGCTCGGAAGGCCTTAAACCTTAGCGGAAGGCCTCCCTTGTTTAGTCGCTGTGTTTAAGGGATTGGCGTCCATCATACGAGTCCATCGCAGTGTTATGATTACCCCGAGATTCTTGCTGAGAAACGGAGGTGCGCGCTCTCCGATTCCTCTGCTCCAAATGCCTTCGTCTCGGCGTTTTTCTGGAAGCTGAAGGAGCCGTAAGTTTAAGGCTGCCGAGAATGTGTGTATTTACCGCTCCCGAGCGCCAGACATCAGGGCTTTCGGATGGGATTTGAGAAATGCGCTGCTGGTGGTCTGGTTCTGAGAAGAGAACAGCGCTGCATCAATGGCAGCATACCTCTGATCAAACGCAAGCGAATGCATCGT